ACACACACACACACACACACACACACACACACACACACACACACACACACACAAATTACAAACTGAAATTCATATTCGAGCATAAGTGAATATGATATGATTTGTTATAAACAACACATTCAAACTCTTATAAATGGCCTGTACTCCCACGCAAAGAGCAATGACTTTTTATAATGACACTACAATTCCACTAGGGGGCGAGTCTTGCATTATAAATGGAAAATCAACAGAACACTTAGAACGCTCAGTGGAAGGAAGCCATGAAAGCTGAATTACTTCCTGACAAACTGAGAATTGACCCTCTAGCTATTGAAAACCAACTTTCAAGCGTTGAGTGATGTTGATAAGATAATCTTTGACTCTTATGTTTCGCAATTTATCTTTTCGGAGGGGAATTTTCTCTAAATAACTTATAAAATATGCATATGTTGTTAGTAAAAAACTCATTTATTTAGGCAGCTGTGACAAAATAGTGTTACTATTGTGCAGAGCTCCATAAAATATACTGAATATACTTCCATCAATCATCATCAGTGTAATGCTTGCTGATGATGACCAGCACATGGTCCAGACATGGAAATATACAAATCTACCTCTGAATAGAATAACTACTTTCAGAGTTGTAAAGTTGCTGTTTACATATACAGGTACATCTGGAATCTGGATCACTGTTTTATATATGAATATATTAGATTGTTTCATAATTACCTCATGCTTTATACTGTATATTTTACAGTTTGTGCAGCATTTGATTACATCTGTTGGACTAGTTATTGCAACATGACGAAACCAGATGGCCACCGTTCAAAAGTTTGGGGTCTGTAAGATTTTTAAATGTTTTTCAAAGAAGTCTCTTGTGCTCAGCAAGGCTTGATTTATTTGATCCAAATATTATTACTTTTTTCCATTTAAATATATTTTTGACTGTATATAAAGAATTTAAGAATATACAATTGTATATTTTATAAAAAAATTATTCATTGAAAGTCTCAGGTAACCTAAGAAAATATGCTTCATGTCATTAGAATTAACTAATTTTACTCAAAAATAAAAATTCATAAAATATATTTTTTAATGTTACCGTTGCAACAATGAATGCAATTTTTAAGGGTACCATCAGGGTACCCATCAGGGTCAATTTTATTTTACTTTATTAAACTAAACCATATACTCGAAGACAATCAGTGGCTTATGCTTGGTCTGCTAACTGCTGCATGAATGTGGACTTTAATCTTGGAGTTCAGCTTCTTATGTAAAGTATGCATACAGTATGAATCATATATATGCGATCAGATAGATTAAACTGTATTTAGCTTCTGCATTTCAACTGAGCCTTTAGGGAGCAAAATAACAACATTTAGTTGCTATCGTACTTATGGCCTTTGGCGTAAGAAACGAAAAGCATTTATTTATATAATTCTTGGACAAGCTGTTTTACTCAGGGCCCTCAGAGGTGTAGCAAAAGTGCAAGAGGAAGCATATTTGCAAAACCAGGGCAAGTAATTACCAAACCAACCAATCTAGTCTGTCTCCCCCTCCTCCCCTTTTCCTTTCCGGCATCCCCACAGAGGTTTTAATGGCCTGGTCTGGAGCCAGGAGTGCTCTGTGCTGCTATGCCCTGTAGGTACAAACCTCCAAAGCCCTGGATAGAGAAAGCCTGCTGTCACTCACAGTTAAGTCATGGTGGAACATTTGCAGGCATCATAAACAACTAAAATCCAAACAGACAAGGAATATCACATTCTCTCTATGTTAAAGGCCTCCAAAGAGATAATGAGGGAAGCTGTTAATTTGTAGAAGAAAGAGTCTTTCTCTCAGTGGCCTTGGTTCCGAAAAGGGCTTTACACATTGTGTTTAACCCCAGCTTATTGTCGTTCTGAACCCCTCTTTTAACCCCGTATAAAGGTATGTTTCATAATTGTAATTTAGAAGTGTGGTTAACACTGCTTTTTTTACCCGGGGTTATGGTTTTGCACTGTTGCGGTGTCAAACTTGTACAGTGTAAAACGATGCGATGTTAGTATGTTACTGTTAGATGCTTAGGAACCGACAACCATGTGCTTTGGTCAGTCACGGAAACACTGAGCGTTGTATAAACATTCGTTTCGGCGTTTGAGAGGAAAGACGTCAAATAGTGACAGAAAATATGTGAACTGAAGTGAAGAAGAGACTTGTTTCTTATCTTTATTGTTCAACAAAAACGCCATTTAGGAAAAACTTCATAAAAAAAAAAAAAAAAAAAATCACACTAACATCTTGCTTCCCCAGAAGCATGACACTGCTTAACACTCCTGGATATCATGACAGATCCTGAAAGCTTTATATATCATTAACATTTTTCTATAAATATTAATGACATTTTAACACAATTTTGCACTGTTGTATTGCAATTCCATGCACATCCTGTCCCATATTCCTCATAATTATTCATAATCCTGCTCTTCAGGGCCCTCGTGTTCAAGTCTAACCTCCACCTCCTTTTTCCTTTTGCCCCATTTTTTGGAGGTGGGCACATCAGGCCCGAAAACAAAAATCTAGTGGTCTGTTTTAAAATCATTATGCATCTCTCCGGATTCTATTTTGGAGGAAGAAAATGGCAGTGCTGTAGCACAGTACCTCGGGGTGACATTTGGTTCATCCGTACTCTGCTATTTGTGGCCTGAAACGCCGTTTTCCCCCTGTTAGTCATATGAGCTGTTAGCAGTGCTAACTCACTGTTTCTCTTGCACACACACACACCCTTTCTTTCCTACAAAAACGAACATCATTATGCCCTTGTCCGTTCAAAAAGACATTTTCATGACTCTTGGTATCTGCAGACCCCATTTAAGAGCTGCATATGTCTTAATTAATGCATTAAAGTAAAATAAATCAAAGCAATATGTTTGCAACAGCATAACCTCTTGCAGGGGTCACATGTAGGCATGTATGGGGATCCCTGCTGCCTCAGGTGAAGTAGGAAGCTCTGCTCAAGTTTAAAGATGGACTCTCAGGGTCAATAACAGCACAGGGTGAGGGAAGGGAGCGTGAAGGGGAGGGGATGGGAGATGGGAGGAGGGCTGGAGGTGGAATTCTGTGGTTGGAGTACTAAACTCTCATTCCTCAGTAGCTCTCAGGCAACACATGGCAAGCATGACTGATCCCAGAACAGAATTTCAAGCAGAACAAAACACTTTAAGGTGTAACAGCATGAACTCTCAAACAAAACCTGCTCTCTCTTAATGGGCGGTACATTATTTAATGATGATACAGGATTAGATTTTTTTTCACAATATTTTGTAACTAAAAAAAATAAATAATCCAAAATGACAGCTAAACGAATTAATAAAAATTGCATTTTTGTTATTTAGATGACCTTTATGCATTTGTACTGGTTAAGATTTATCAAAGGCCAAACATCATCATGCTCAGACTTTCAGAATTAATATCATTAAATAATCCTGTAATTTTAGATTTTACAATCGTTGATGCACTGTTGTAGCTTTTGTCAATATTTGAAATATATTTTATTGTTTAGATTTTCAGTTTTCAATTTTTAAAAACATTTTTAGTCATTTTGTTGTGTTTTTGTCAATATATTTTATTCGTTTTTAAAAAAATATCTATATAGTTATATCCATTAAGTTATAGTTTTTAGTTCATTTTTTATAATGATTTTAGTACTGCAACTTCACATATATATATATATGAAGTGTATATGTTATTACTATATATATTACACGTGTATATGTGTAATATATATATATATATATATATATATATATATTACACATATACACGTTTTATAGCCTAAAATAGTAAAAAAATAACAAGTTTGTTTACATATACAAAAGTGCTTTATTTAAATATATCTGATTTTAGAATTAAATAAACCTTTTGACAAAAGCATTTAGTTAACAACTAACTGAGCTGCTGATCATATAATGTGCAATTTTCTGAAGAGTCTGTATCATATGTATATTTAAAGTTGAAATGATTAAAATTGTGCATTTATTTCCTAATTTATTTAGAATAAAATCACATTCTCAACAGATTTGTTGGTATCTGTGTGCGTGGTAACATTAGGCCTTATCGCTTAATATGCAAATATGTGGGTATTTAATGAGATTGCGCCATATTTAAAAGTTGAAGGGGTAAGGAAAATGAAAACCTGCACGCAACATGCGCATTTCTTCTTCAGATGTTTTGTGTTTGTTGCGTTACATATCTGGATGCCGTGGCCACCGTGGACTGCGCCTCACTGTAACAACTTCTCGTGGTATTTTCCTCCCAGTTGAGGAGAGTTTCTATAGAGACGCCTCATGTTGCTGGTGTGACGGTTCCTGCTCCGGTGGAAAGTAACCAATGAGCGGCAGGAGTGCGGGTGTCTGGTTACTCCCTCTCTCCAGCGAGCAGGAGGGCTGACACAGACTGAGAGAGAGAGCTGAACCTCTCGGGCTGGAAGGGTGACTCGGCTTCCCAAAGGAACCGAAAACGCGCTGCCTATTTTCAGCTGCGTCAAAGATCCTGTCAGTTTACGCGCAGTCTGCAAGTTTTTACGCATTAGAATTTAAGGAGAACCCAAGGAGTGCGGGTTACATTTTTTTTTAATGGAGATGATGGACCTTACGGTCGAAGTAGTTCGTATAAAGTAAAACCTGTTGCCAGTTCGACCCGGGCTGGTTTTCCATTTCAGGTTTGCTGGTGGATGTGATGCTGGACTCTTGTTTGCGCACTGGCTGGTAGTTGGAGCGAAGTTTGAAGTTATAGGCCACTTATTTAGGAGGTGAGTTTATGTTTTTACATCAATGGTTTCTTGAGTTTGATGCTACTGCTTTACCAGCGTTTATATTGGTCTATAAACCGCGCAAGGAGCTTTGCCATGGCCATGAGGCGCCAGGCTTTGGATTAGGAGAGCTTTATGTTTGTATTCCAGCAAAAATGCGACTTTTATTCGAACTTTATTTGAGTTTTATCTTCACAGTCTGCATAAAAAAATTCAAAGAAGGCGTTATGGATGTAAAATGCGAGCGCCGAAAATACAAAATGTGTCCAATGTTGTAGTGTTGGATGGTGGAGCGAGTTGGACGTAACCGCAGGTGTTTTACTTGTGTCTGATGGAGGCCATCGGTCCACTTGAGGGATAGTTTTGTGCATTTAACATATAATTTTAGTCAGTAATATTGAAATGAACGACTTTTGTGTGTTTATTTGGTAGAATTATTGATGACATGTCGCTGTTTTGGCTCCTTTTTGTAGCTTGGCCACCACATCATCACATTGCAGGTCAATGTTTAAAGGTGAATTTTAAAGTATAAAAGTTAAAAAAGAATGTGTTCTTACCACAGAAGATTCTAACTAACAGTAAAGTTCAATAAAAAACATTATAAAATACTAATTTAACGACTATTGTACATGTAAACACCAAGGTACATGAATATGGTAATGAAATTGAGAATTTTAATATTGTGATGTCCAGGCCTAGTTTTGTGCTGCTCTTTAGTATTTCATTGGATTATTCAGTGGATTATTACCTGACATAGAAATCCCAATCTCAATAAAATAATTGTATAAAATCCGGTAAATGACCGGAAAGTAATGTAAAAAGTGTGGGAAAGCTGAATTTAGATCAAAATTTTTATCAGTGCAGACCATTACCAAACTATGGTACCACTGCAGTACTTTTTGTAAGGGTTAGAAGGTTGTACTCAGCTTTTTATATCCTAATGAGCACATCATCAGTTTGAGAAACCTCTCATCCTCAGATCCACTTCAGCTCACCAAAGCTGTCATTTGAGAGCTAAAACTTGTCATTTTTAGTCTGTTTATATCTCACGATGCCACTCCTGATCTAATGGCAGGAGGAACTGCCTCTTTCCAGTGTAAACATGAGCAGTTCTTATGAAATTGCACCGTGTGGTTTGCAGTTCACAGAATTAGCCGTAAAAGAGAAGCTTCTTGCACAGAGGAATGTTCCTGACACTGAGGGTGTCTGAGTCATCCAGCTATAGTTATAGGGGCCAATACGAGTTCTTGTTTTCTTTTGTGTGGTGGTCCGAAGGTTTGTTTTATCCTCTGCTCCTAGCTCAATGGATCTTTTGTTTCAAGACTCCGTTGCAGTTCATGCAGTTCGGCGCTGCTTACATCTGGGTTGTGCAAATCTGGCTTGGTAATCTTGCCTACAGAAACGTCTCAAAGTTCATTTGTGCAGGACAGGAGGTGGTTCAGACTTAGTAGTACAACTTTGAGACACAAAGCAGTTCAGTCCATCAGTTTTAGCCTGGGTTTTGAGCACTTTGTTAGACCGAAATTGGATTGATGTGAAAGTAGGCCGACGGTGAAAGAGGTTTACCTACGTCCAGTGGATGAGGTCACCTTTGGCTGTCTAAAAATCCAGATGCTATGTATTTCGGTGTGCTATGAGCCTGTCAGATGGATTATGGTGCTTATTATGTAATGTAACAGCTATTTGGATGGTGCATTTGACAGGTGACTTGTGGGTTAAAAAGGGCGGTAGTGTTGGTTTGTGTGCTTGTATTACGTTTGTGTTAAAATTTGTTCAGTTTCCTAACATTTGGTTGAACGGGAAGCTTCTGTGGGTAGGCCTGTCACTATAACAACTTTTTGTTGTGCGATATATTGCCCCAGAAATAATTGCGATAAGCGATATTATTGTCATTTTAAAGACCATTTTATGCCACTGAATATATAATCATAATGTAACAGCATAATGCAAGAAGGCCTACACACTTCCAAATGACAACAAACTTTTAATTTTTAAGAATATTTAGATCATGCAAATTAAGTATCAAAATATTAGATACCTTAAAAAGCCTGAATAAATAGTAAATAAACATCTTCTAACAAAAAGTTAAAAGTAACAAGTAGAAAAAAATAAAAATGCACTGAATAAATAGTAAATAAACATTTTCTAACAAAAAGTTCAAAGTAACAAGTAGAAAAAAAGAAAAATGCACCAAGAACTTCTATGGAGATATTTCCATCTACAGAATTTTCTCTGTAAATTAAGAGTGCGCACTATTGCTGAAAAACACAATCACTACTTAGCAGTCAGATGTCCGTATGCACAAAGGCACAGATCCCTAAACAAGGCCATATCAGCAGATGAAACTTTTTTTTGTAGAAACATTTTTTTAATTTGAACTGGCACCTCATGACTACACCACGTTATGTACGAGAAGCTGCAAAAGACACAGGCGCAAGTGGAATGTAGAAAACATGGTGACATAAATTTGTAAGTAAATATAATGGGCGATATATTGCGTCACCAAAAATGATTGAGGTCATGTACATATATTGCGCGATAAGTCGATATATTGATTATTGCGACAGGCCTATCTGTGGGTGACAATCTTGGTTCAATCACAACAATCTTGGTTGGCGTCTGGTTTCACAAACAGAATAACAATAGTTTCAAGTTATTTTAATCAGGAACTCAGCTTTGTGTCCACTGGTTTTTCCACTAATGCTCTAAGTATATCTTTCTCGCTAGATTGCGAAACGAGTCAAACGGAAGTCAAACCCTACCCTCACACCTTTGATGCTAATTCTGCTCCTTCAGCGTGTTATTTTGTTCTGGCCTGTCTCCATTGAGGAAATTCCATCTCTGCTGAACCGCAGTTCAGTGCGCTTTTACACGCCAGACGTGCACAGCTCAGGTTTTTAGTTCGGCTAAATTCAGTCATCTATGTGAGGTGTTTTTCTGAACACCACTTTGCAAAGTGAATTTGCAATCTCTTGCACTCTGCTTTATGCTTATTCTGAGAAAATGCTTTTGAAAGCATTTTTATCTTTATGTTCTACAGACAGATTTAGTTTTCTGTTCTGAATCAGTGCTGATGCATATTTTTAATGATGTCTTGGAATAAATGGATTGTTGTGCACAGAAATAAAGCTTTCAATGTTTTATAGAACAATATACTACTGTTCAAAAGTTTGGGGTCCGTAGGTTTTTTTTTTCTAAAGAAATTGCAAAATTTTAAAAATAATAACAAAAGGTTTCAATTTCAAATAAATGCTGTTCTTTTGAACGTTCTATTCATCAAAGAATGCTGAAAAAAATCACAAAAAATAAGTTCAAATGTTTCTTGAGCAGCAAATCAGCATATTAGAATGATTCCTGAAGGATCATGTGACACTGATGACTGGAGTAATGATGCTGAAAATTCGGCTTTGCATCACAAGAATAAATTATATTTTAAAATCTATTCAAATAGAAAACAGTTATTCTAAATTGTAATAATATTTCACAATATTACTGTTTTTACTGTATTTTTTAATCCAATAATTGCAGCCTTGGTGAGCATAAGAGACTTCTTTCAAAAATATAAAAAAAATCCTAGACTCCAAACTTTTTTTAGTGTTTGATTTGACACAAATAACTAGACTTTTACTTTTGCATTAACATGTTGCAAAGGTGATGTGGGTGGTTGCCAGGATGTTCCTGTGTTGTCGCTAGGGTTAATTTTCCTTTATTGTGTTGCGGTAAACAAGACGTGCAAAGTAAGCTTTAAAATAAAAAGTTCATCCTGTTTTTGGTTTGTAGCTTTTTTTTTCTCCTGGATGCCTCACATATTTTGGGCTTTTCCAGGATGGAAACTTATTGAAAGCTGGTATATTGTGCATTCTACCAGTATATTCAAGTCAAACCGGGCTGTTGTCCCGGGCACATTGTATAGTACCTTTGGCCTAGGCTCAACACATGGCGGACATCAGTGCATCCGACCCTGAGAAGCAGCCGCGAGTGGGCAGTTTTATTCCAGAGGCCTCTGGTTTTCTCCAGAACTCTACTTCAGAGGCTTGATTACTGATCACACCACTGGGAGAAGAAAAAAGGCTGTAGAAGCCACCCACACTGATCTGGGATCAGAGCCGCCCTGTGTGAATTTCAAATGGTTCCATTAAAAAATTGATCGCAAAACTGACATTAAATCAGAATGAAAGGGAGGATCTAGCAAACACTGGATGTAGAAATGGTTTTGGCATTGAAATAGATTGGGAAGGGTGGAAGTATTACGTATATACTATATTTTTATAGGAAGTGCTTTAGTTCGACATTAAGTTATTAAAATAGTTTAGTAAGAAATGTATGTTGGAAAATATCATCATGTATGTTTATATTTGTGCATATAATTGAAAATTATTACCATATTTTATGGAAAACAAGTCACACCTGACTATAAGTCGCACCGAGTTAAGAAAACACGGATAAGTCGCATCAGTGTATAAGTCACATTACATTAGTACATTCAGAAATAATGTCAAATAAAATGTTGACGAACATTACAAACACTATAAACTTGTATTTTAGTTCCTTTCACTTTACAACAAATCCTTTAAATTTAACAGCATTCAGAACAGAACAGGAATGGAAAAATAAGTATAAAACAAACATAATTTTTAGTGGCATTCGTTATAAACAAAATTTATTATGAACACCAAGCTGTGAAATGTATGTTGGAAAATATCATCATGTATGTTTATATTTGTGCATATAATTGAAAATTATTACCATATTTTATGGAAAACAAGTCACACCTGACTATAAGTCGCACCGAGTTAAGAAAACACGGATAAGTCGCATCAGTGTATAAGTCACATTACATTAGTACATTCAGAAATAATGTCAAATAAAATGTTGACGAACATTACAAACACTATAAACTTGTATTTTAGTTCCTTTCACTTTACAACAAATCCTTTAAATTTAACAGCATTCAGAACAGAACAGGAATGGAAAAATCTAAGTATAAAACAAACATATTT